CTTGTTCACTGCTTTACCTCAGGGCCTAGGACAATAATGTTTACTGATGAGAGACTGACTAAGATGACTCTTGCAGTGAAAGTCTAGGGTTAATATAGCATGTCCCTGTGGAAAGAGATCTTCAGATAACGCTGGTGCTGTACTTACTAACTTGAAGAGTGAGTTAGCAACTCTGGGCCATTTTCTGTTCGAGAAGAGGTATTGTGAGAGTGGTAGAAAATGTATCAAGTGCTGTAAGGACAGTGCTTCCCTGATAGCAGCTGCTCTAAGTAGGTAGGTAAGTCAAACGGGCCAACCTGGTTCCTAGTCCATTGTCCTTTCCATCGTCCCCGGGTGGTGATGGTTAAACATTGGGGTGAATTGAAGAGTTAAGGGTAAGGTAAGTGTAAAGGAAGACCCTGGAATCATTGTGGCGTCCCAAAGAGGCTGTCTGTTGTTCCTTTTCAAATGACGGTTTAAGTATGGTTATATTGGAAGGGGGTAAGTGGTCTTAAAATCCACTACAGTTCTAGGGGCTTCCCTGGTGGCGCAGTGGTTGAGAGTCCGCCTGCCGATGCAGGGGACGTGGGTTCGTGCCCTGGTCTGGGAGGATCCCACATGCCGCGGAGCGGCTGGGCCCGAGAGCCATGGCCACTGAGCCTGCGCGTCCGGAGCCTGTGCTCCGCAGCGGGAGAGGCCACAACAGTGAGAGGCCCGCGTACGGCAAAAAAAAAAATCCACTACAGTTCTAGAAGAGCAAAGAAGCAAGCGTACCTTATACTTTGAGGCTCTGGCTTGTCTGGCCTGTTTCTGGTGAGCGAGATAATCTTTAATTTAGCTAAGAGCAGGGGTTCCTCAGCCCCCAGGCAGAGCCCTCTCACTGCTTCTCCCCCAAGCTATAGATGAGGAAGCCTCCCCTGGTGCCTTGTTTCCCTAATCCGTGGCCCTGAGACTGGTAGATACTTAGACCTTGGACCAAGGAGGAGGATGGAGAAACAGGGGAAGAGCCAGGGAGGTGCGTAGAGCCCGATTTAGGCCTGTACACAAAGGTTCCACTATGTGGAGGGTCAGCGGTACCCAAATTGTATTTACTCAGCATGGCAACAGTGAGGGGGAAGTTCCATGCTGTCCAGACACAGGGGTTCCTCAGTTCTCAGAAGAAAGTCCCATAGAAACAGAAAATAAACACCAGAGGTGATTTTCTTCTGGCCTCGGCACTCACAGGAACCACAGGAGTGGTTTCCAAGCTTACTGGCAGAGCCAGGCTGGAACGGTGGCAGTGAGGGCTTGGTAAGCAAGATCTGGGCCCAGGAAGATGGAATGGGGTCAGGGGGACTGCAATCTGTAAAGACGAGGGTCAACTAAAGCAGGACGCAAAGGGGAATGAGTTCAGAAAACAGATTTAAGATGTGGAAACTGGCCCCAAGAAGAAAGGACCAGCTGAGGTCAAAACTGACCAAGACCCGGAATGTGGATGCAGGCGAGAGAGGGGTGAGCTTAGGGTATCAGTGACTCTGGGAGCAGGTGCCCAGGCCCTGACATCACAACTGGGTTGGATGGGGGGAAGGGAAAGAAAGCACCCTTCGAGGAGGACTTTCTGTGTTCCCGGCTCTATGTTCAACACTTAATGGACATCTTTGGAACAGAGAAAGAACTCTAAGTCCCAGAGAGGCTGGGGTGGGGGGTGAGTTCCCAGGAAATCTGGGGACTAGGCAGGGACATTGAAGTCATTCTCAGATCTAAGAATAATCAAGGTAGGAGCAAGACCTTCCCAAACCAGCCTCAGGGCTGAGACAGAGAGAGAGAGAGAGAGAGAGAGAGAACACCTGCAGGCGAGCTGGAAGGAGACTCTCACCTGCCTGGGGCCAAGGCGGTGTGATGTTGAACCACTGGAGGAGGTCACTAGTGGTACCTGCTAGACTTGCAAGGCAGAAATCCAGGCAAAGCCTCAAACAGGCTGAGCCACGGTGCCTGTCCACGCCCAAAGCCATGTTTCTTCTGCTGTACCTGCGTAACCCAGCGGCTTATAATAGTTTCACTATTTATATATCGCTTTACAGTTTTCAAAGCACCTTCACAAATTAGGCTACTTAACTGATGTCCATTGCTGGATTATCAGGCGGTGGGAGTCAAGTGTTTCACAGATTATTCTGTCTGGCTTCTCCTGTGTGACTCTGGCTAAGCTACTTGCCCTCTCTGGGCTTCGATGTGCCCAACTGAGAGGAGGCAACAATCAGTCATTCTTCTACAACATAGGATGAGAAGCATCTGGAGAGGTGCTGGTAGTGAGTGGATTTGCCAGGCTTCAGCAAGCTCTGGAGTCCATAGACATTCTAAAGAAAGCCCATTCACTGGGCTCCAGGAAAACAAATTCAGACGTATTATAATCTTTCCTTCAACCCAGCTTTTAAGCTCTAAATGCTTCCAGAAGGCTTATCGTTCTCTTGCCCCTCGCCAAGCCTGGTTTTGAGACAGGGAAGTTAGGGAGGAGTTTCTGATTCCTGTACGGCTCTATTTTTATCTGGAATGTATCTTCCTGCACCGCCAGTGATTGGCGCCTTCGGGGCCGAGGGTAAAGTGCACTGTCAGCAGCACACGAGCAGTATATAGCAACGGACAGAGAGACTGAACTGTTACGGGGGCGGGAAGTTAGACAGATGGACAGACTGATGGGCCCAGCATGTTTGCCAAGAGCAGCTCAATTAATTAATCACAAGGACAAGATGTTCGCCTCTGACCACGCCCTGCGTGACACATGTAGGGCACTAATCAGAGCGGGCATTGGGTTCCCCGCTTGCGCCAGCGCTGTCGGGGACTCTGGCATCTTGAAGAGAGGTGCATCCTTTTACATCTTTATGTGAAATCAGCATCTGATGTTTAGGCTGGAATGAGAATAAACTTGACTTACAGCAGGAAACAGTAAAGAGGGACCTGTCTTTTCCTCCAGAGCAGCCTGTTCGCAGATCTGAAGGTCCGTGGCCACTGCAGTTCTTTCCTATCTCTAAGCAAAGCCCCCATCACAAAGCTTGGCCCCCACGTAACTTCACCCGAGGCGGTGGGAGGCGGCCGTGTGCGCCTCCCCTGCTCCAGGGGCAGCATCACGGTGTGACCAGCGACGTTTCCTTTGGAGGGAGCACCCAAGTAAGAAAGCTTGGAGACAATTCTAGCGCAAAAAGGAGGGCCTAGGAAGTGTATGTGAGTGTGTGTGTGTGTGTGTGTGTGTGTGTGTGTGTGTGTGTGTGTGAGAGAAAGAGAGAGTATGTGTGTGTGAGAGAGAGTGTGTGGGGGGGGTGGTGTACAGGGATGCAAGCTTGCAGCTGGAGCCGAGCATGCTTGGTCTTTGCAGGCCATGAGCCCCGTGGAAAGACAGAAATGGACTTTCTCGAGCAAAGTGCTACCCAGATCCTCCCAGTTTCAGGCTAGACGTGGGCAGAGGGAGTTTGCAGTCTGTGTACGAAATGCCATCGTCATGGTCACCAAAAACCAAAGCTGAATGTCTCTGAGACTGGACATTTAAAAAACATTATTAAAACTGTGTGGTTCCCTAGGCCGCATGTAACAAGGCAGAAGTGAGGGGGCCGTTTCCAGTGCTTACTGACTCACCGTATGAGTCTTGGTGACAAATGGCACATGGGAGTGAACAGTGGCCAGGGTGCATCTTGGCCTCTTCAGGGGGCCTAGAGGCACCTTGGGGGAGGGAAAGCCACAGGAAACCAATGGTTGCATTGGGGGTAGAGCAGGGGCATGGTAACCAGCTGGTCACCAGTTTGCAGAAAGCTCACAGCAAAAACGAACAGAACAGTAAAAGGGGTGAGTCTCTCTCAATGAGGACACTGTAGAGAACAGTAATGCAATATGCAAATCCCTAGAACTGAAGTCATTGTAGTGTTCTTGGAAGGAAGGACCCCGTTGCCCGTAGTAATAATAACCCTTTTATAGCTCTTCTTATGTCCTAGGCCTTGTCCTCACACTTTAGATGTATAGTCAGTCATTTAATCCACAGAACAACCTTGTGAGTGATGTGCTACTGTTATCCCTGTCAAGGTACAGAAAGGTAAAATCATTTGCCCAAGGTCACTGAGCTAGGGAGATGGAGCGACTCAGCGGTCGAATCCAGATAGTCTGGTTCTCATCGCCGTGCTACTTGACTCTCATGTTATTTGAATATTTTCTGAACATTTCTATGCCCAAGGCACTCAATTAAGTAGGGGAAACAAGATACAAAAATACTTGTCAAAAGTTCAATCAAGGTGCTTCCCTGGTGGCACAGTGGTTAAGAATCCACCTGCCAATGCAGGGGACACGGGTTCGAGCCCTGGTCTGGGAAGATCCCACGTGCCCCGGAGCAACTAAGCCCGTGCGCCACAACTACTTAGCCTGCGCTCTAGAGCGACGACTATGGAGCCCGCGTGCCCTAGAGCCCGTGCTCTGCAACAAGAGAAGCCCGCACACCGCAACGAAGAGTAGACCCCGCTCGCCGCAACTAGAGAAAGCCCGTGTGCAGCAACGAAGACCCGATGCAGCCTAAATAAATAAAAGTTCAATCAAAGACGTTTTCTCATCCCATTAGATACACTTACAGGCCTCTCTCTCCAGTGCATTTTGCCAGCCTACAGTTTTCGAAGCCTCATGTGACAACGGGAAGATGCTGTCCCTGATAGAGCCCTCTCCGGGCTGGGTCTCCGTGGGACGAGGAACCCGGCCTTGTCCTGCCTCCCAGATCCCTGGGTGCCCTAACCTCCACCCCCAGGGCGACACCAAGTTTTATTCCTTTCCAGATCCCCAGAGCCACACCCAGGGCCAAGGACACTATAAACATTCACTAAATGCAGTTGACTGAACGGGTTTTTTACATCTTTGAATGCAGGAGCCAATTGCAAAACGCTGTGAAAAGACCTCACTGTGGCATCATCCCTGCTTGTGGCCACATAGCAAGCACCTTGTGTGGCACCCGGTGCTGATGCTCAGCAGTGCCAAGTGCATATTTGCTGGTTCACTTTGGCTTCCCTTTGGTTTGCCAGGAAAGGCCGGCAGAGACCAACGCCAGTGTGGACGACTCAGCGCCCCCCTCGGTGGCCCAGCTGGCCGGGCGATTCAGGGAGCAGGCGGCCGCTGCAAAGGTGAGTCAGGAGGCTTCAGAGCCCCTCTCCTGGGATGGGGCTGGAGGAAGGGGAAGTCTGGGTCAGGCCCAGAGGAGAGGGAGGGAGGAGGCTTGGTAATTACCAAATTAGGAAGAGAAGCCAGAGAGGGGTCTCTCTGAATGTAAGGAATGTCTCCATGCTGCTGGGCCTGGGCAGGACCGTTCCCCACCAGAGTGAGGCTTACCCTGTGGCCAGGAGGGCTGAGAGCTGAAAGCCCTGCTCTTAGAGACGGGGGGTCTGAACCCGGGGCTTGTCCACCCCAGTCGTCCACTGATAGAGACTTAGCTCTTGCACAGCTGTGCCAGGCCTGGACTGCTTCAGAATAAAGAAGTCCCCACACCAGGCTCCTCCCCGGAGCTTAGGAAGCTTAGGAATCTGGAACAAGGGTGGATTCCAGAAGGAGAATTGGGAAGAAAGAGAGGACGGAAACGGAAGCATCTTCAGATAGGAAGCCAGGGATCAGGAAGGAAAGGGATCCGGTGACCAGTGGATTCTAGAATCCTGCTGGAGAGGTCAGTGTCAAATGGGGTATTGCAGCATTGGAGAGATTTGGGCTAGATTTTCTTGAGTCTTACAGTGTGAGGAGCTCCTTAGAAGTGAAATGAGGGAAGGGAAGCCCAGTGTGTGGGGAGGTTTATCATGGCCCCTTGGGACAAACGAGAGTGTAATTGTCATGCTTTTTTAGTGCGTTGTTTTGCGTTTTTATTCTCCCATCTGAAAAATCGGTCCGTAATTTCAGACACGATAAGAATGTCATAAAGGGTGAAGGAGATAGTATCGATCAAATGTGCTGACAGTGCTTAGAAGCTGGGTGTGGGTGTCATTGTGAGATGTTGCTTCAGGCCGGCCAGTGAATCACAAGTAAAAGAGGGTGCTCCAGCAGGAAAGGACTGGGAGAGTCTGAAAAGGACTAGAGAGCCTGAAAGTCAAAACGGGTAGACAGTTCACTAGAATGAATTTATAAAGTTAACGGGCAGTCGCAAAGACATGCAATCCCTCCCTTCATTCTTTTCTCCACCAGACATCCCTAAACATTCCTAAAACCAGTTTCTACTTCCTTCCTCTTCCTCCCTGTTGCCTGATTAGCTCTCTCTCTTTTTCTCTCTGTGTGTCTGTCTGTCGCCCTCCCTCTAGACACCAGCCAGTAAGCCAACAAGAAGGAAACCGCCCTGCTCCCTCTCTCTGTTCCCCCCCAGGGTAGAGCTGGGCCAGAATGGTGAAGAGGTAAGTGCTTCTGCTGCTGGGGGCTCAGAGGATGCTGGTTATGGATTTTCTTTCTCCTTTTTATAGGAAGAGGCATGCAATTCGCACTTTTAGACTTGAAACCTGTGCAGGGAATTTCTCCATTTCAGATTCAGGGGTGAATGTCCTTAACACTTCCTGAATCCTTTACTTTGAAAACGAGGTCCCTTCCTACGCCCTGTTACTGAGCCTCCCTTATGGTTTTCAAGGACAGAAGCACTATTTTTCAAGCCTGAGCATTTCCGCCAAGAGAATGGGTCCATGGAGTATTTTACCACACCAGATTCAGGAGTCATGAAAGTCATGTTTGACTCCCAGGTCTGACTGATACGATCTTCCAAGTGTGCAAAGCATCTGGAAAGAGGGCCGCACTCACGTAAAGCAGAACTGCAGTGTGAGAGAGGCGTGGGTTTCTGTGGTATCTTGAAAAGGCTGGCTATTGTTCTGGATCACTGAAAGAGAACCAGAGCACACAGGAGGCCTCATTGCCCTCAGATATTAATAACCAATGTTACCAACATAATAAAGGCTCTGGTATCATAGATCATAGCCACCAATGGATTCCCGGCCTGCATGTTCACCTACCCTTATTTATCTAATTGTAGCTGTAAGAGCAACTTGTCCACACCCTCCCAGGAACCCAGGAAACTTCACTGTGGTCGTGGTCCCCGCCAGAAATGGATTAGCGTGTTCTCTTGTCCAGCCTGGGAGGCCAACCCCAAAATAGAGCAAGCAAGCCCAAGACAGTCCAATTCCCACATGCCAACTGTGATACCTCTTTCCCTCGCTTCCTTTTTGGGGGCCAGCATCCTGACGACAGACACTGGATAGTCATGTGGGCTTGGGCAAGGCCCTTGGTGTCTACATTTTCTCATTTATAAAGTGAAACATTTGGAGTCGGTCAATGGTTTTCAAACCTTTTTGTCAACCCAAGGCATATGAGCAGAAGCCCATCAGGTAAAGCAGAAACTCAGAGCTGCTCTCAACCAAGTGGGCAGGGGGTGGGGCCCCCCATATGCTCTGAGAATACTCCCCCCCAAAACGGGACAGGGGTCTTCTGGGATGAGAACGCCCCAAGAAGCCCAGTTTAAAAAACACTACGTTTTTCTTGGGGTCTCCTCAGGTGCTGATATCATGATTCTGACCCCATCTTCGTGGGGTCATCAGCCAGCATTCCGATCAAAGCCATACCAACAACTTCTCTTTACTGAGGGTGAACTTCTCCTGTGACCTTCACCCTGAGGGCTTGGAGTCTGTGTTAGGCAATAGGCTGAGGCCGTGGCCACTAGGTGCCTACCGTGAGGCTGCCCCCTGATGACCTGGACTCAGCCCCAGAGAAGTCACTGCACTGCGCCTGCTTCCTTTTTTGTAAAATGGGACAAGAACACTAACCAGACATGATGGGGGCCGGATGGGGACTTTTATCCCCTGGATAAAAGTGGAGGGAGTTCAGTGGCTCTGGGAGAAATACGTTTACATGTTCCATCCCATGGGGCACCACCAGCAGCTAAATGGCATGTAATAGCCAAGGGCTGGATGAATGGGAGGGTGGATTTAAGAGGGAAGGTTCCACGTGGAGTGACAGGCTGCTTGCACGTGGGAAGGACGTTGTTTCCAGAGATCAGTGACTTTTTGTCACGAGCTTGAAATTCACATAAAAATAAAACGAGCAGCCAGCTCTGTCTGGCTGGGTTAGAAAATTGTGGAGGCTGCTGCCACAGTTCTCCTTCCGGACTCCCACGGCACAGCCTGCAGGAGCCCTAGTGCCGGGAGCCTTGGGGGCCTGGGAAGGCCCCAGTCAGGCTACCCCTCGGTTCCCAATGCACAGTGCCGGAGAGGGGCTTCCCATCCCTTCTTCATCCCTGCCCCCTCCCTATGCCTGCACAGGACTGAGACGGTGGAGCCAGCCCCTGCCGACAGGGTATCCTGGAGTTGCCCCTCTCTGGAGGACCCACCCAAAAGAGTGTTTAATATGGCCACTGAGCCTGCCTTGCCTGCCCACAGGAGGGCTGGAAAACAGTTCCATCTGAAAAATCCGGTCATTATTCTAGACATTATAGGAATGTCATATATGGACATATATACATACATAAAGAGAGATGTCAGGCTGACTTTTCTCCACCAACTGTATGAGCGGAGGCCACTTGTTAAACAGTAAAGAGCTGCTTGTTAAACAGTAAAGGAAATACTGCCACCTTCAGCCGTTCCCAGGAATGGCATCGGCGGCTCTTTTGGGTTCTTCCTGCTTTGCAGTTCAATTAGAATCAACAAGGATTTTGTAGGGCATGAGCTGGGTTCCCAGCACTGATGAAGGGGCTGTGTTTATTGAATTTTCACTCTCTTCAGAAGATACTACTCAGTTGCAGAAGAGAATAAAGTATTACATAAAGTGAGCTTTGTCAGCACAATTGTTGCTGCAGTTCCTAAACAGTATCTTCAGAAACGTGGCCTCATATGAACTTTCACTGTAAAGCCCAGAAATTAAGGACAACTGAGTTTGGGCTGGAAGCTCTTTGTTCTCACGGTGGACACAAGGCTCCTTGAAAGACTGACTGCTCTGGAAATATGTCTGATGGTGTAAACTCATGGAGCCAGAGGCACCTGAGAGCTGGAGGAGGCCTTAGAATCGTTTATTCCAACCCACCCACCTGCCTGGGTCTTGGCCGGGGAGGCTGAGGCCAGGGCAGCCGTCTGGCTCCTGTCAAAGCCGGAGTTAGCAGGGGCTGGGGAAGGGAGCTCCTGAGTCCCAGCCAGTGGCTGCCCCACGCTCCAGCACCTCCCCCGCCCTGCAATGCTGGGCCTTAAAAAGGTCACAGGGAGTTCAGTTGAGTGAGTCTGTCTCCTTCCATCACTAAAATACAATCATCTCACTCAATAACTATCTCAGAATATTTATAAGAAATTGTGTTATTCTTCTTATGATTCAAGTAAATTAGCACATGGGTGCGAGGAGCAGGGTCCCCAAACTATAGGTCTCTGTCCGACAGCATGGAAGTCATCTTTTTCTTCATCATCATCATCATCATCACTGTCATCATTCCTACCTGTTGAGGGTCAATATAGCTGTGGAACTAGAATCAAGTTGTAGGGATTTTACACAAAACAGGAAGGAGTCAATCTTTTTAGATAATATAAAATCCAAAGACAGGCAAGATTCCTGACAATACACTCATCACAAAAATATCCCAACTAACAGAACATATATATGGGGGTGTGTGTATATATATATATATACACAAGATATCTCAGACATTGACCACTTTCAGAGGGCAGGCGCTCAATCATATTCATTTTTATGTAACCAACACAATGCCTGGAATGTAGGAGATACTCAATAAATGTCTGTTTAATCAAAATGAATAGTCAGTGTTCTAGAATATGATAATTTATAAACAACACTATTGGTGGGGTTTTCCAAAATATTATTAGTTTAAGGGGAGAACTTCAAGTGTACCTCTGTCAGGTTTCACTCCGGCTCTGTGGTTTCTTATGTTTATGACAAACAGAATGGATGGTCACTGTGCCCTTTCTCTTTGAAATCCCCTCCAATTGTTGGCTCATGTTGTTGAATGTCGTGAGGTGAAGATCTTGTCCCCCTCAGACATAGTCTGTTCTCTCATAATGACCATGAAGGCATTCTTCCTGGAACAGGAGGCCTGCTGTGTTTCAGACGTCCTGCCTGCTCTGATCCATAGATTCAAGTGGTCTTGTTAGTGGTAGGATGAGGGAGAGGGGAAGGGGAATCTGCCACGCCCAGGACCTCAGGAGGTAAGTGAGCTCCCGGAGCTAAGGGATGAGGTGGTAAAGCCAACTTTTTCTTCTCCTCTTATTCCAACTATGGCTTCTGGGCTCCAGCCAGAACCCCACCTCCCTTCACCTCACTCATTTGCTTGTTTTGGTCCATTTGCTTTTATAGAAGTCACCGCCCAATGCAAGCCACCCTCCTAAAGTCAAGGTGAAGAGCTCGCCTCTGATCGAGAAGCTCCAGGTAAGTTCAGAATCGATGCTACCTCCTATCCAACCCCCTCTCTTATCCAACATTTGCATGTCTTTGGGGCTCCTAGGGTAGTTCCAGATGTCACCTGGACAGTTGACCTCTGATAACCAGCTAGTGATCAAACTGCCCTGAAGGATGAGGGGCTCTACCTGGGGGCAAAATGCTAAAATAAGGACCCTATTAAACATGAGCTCATGTCATTAGTACCTAATGGAGATTGAAGACAATCAGATGCCTCAAGAGTCTTATGGGAAAGGATGTTATACACAGGAAACACTCCAGGAATAGCCAAGCCCTTTCCATGGCCTGAATGCAGCCACAAACCGTTTCAGCTTTACACAGGGCTGAAATTCAGGTGCTAGTCATTACACCACTACGGCCAAGTTCATTGTTTGGAAAGCATTCCATCCTACCTCGCCACCTTATACATCCAGAGCCCTCACCACTGTGCCCACAGTGGGGCTGGCTTTCCTGGGAGTGTAAACGAAGTATATGACACTGCACTTGATCTCACAGTCTTGTTGGGGAGACAAGGTTTTCACACATGATACAATAAAAGACATACAGGAGAGTAAATACCGGAGATCTAAATTGTGGGTAACTATCCGACTCCTACTGCTCTAGACCAGGACTTTTTTTTTTTTTTTTTTTTGCGGTACGCGGGCCCCTCACTGTTGCGGCCTCTCCCGTTGCAGAGCACAGGCTCCAGACCCGCAGGCTCAGAGGCCATGGCTCACGGGCCCAGCCGCTCCGCAGCATGTGGGATCTTCCCGGACCGGGTCACGAACCCGTGTCCCCTGCATCGGCAGGCGGACTCCCAACCACTGCGCCACCAGGGAAGCCCTAGACCAGGACTTTTTACCTCGGCATTATTTGAGCTGGTCAATTTTGTTGCAGGGGCTGCCTGGTACACTGCAAGATGCTTTAACAGCATCCTTGGTCCCTATCCACTCGATGCCAGCAGCACTCTTCAGTAAACTGTGACAAAGAAAAATGTCCCTAGACATTGCCAAATGTCTCCTGGAGACAAAATCATCCCCCTGCCCCCTACCCCCGCTGAGAACCACTGCGGGTAAAATTTTACAGCGAGAAGACAGTCAAGTGGGCAGGAGTAATTAACAAATGCTTTAGGAAATACCTATTTCCTGAGTCAGTCCTTAGGAATAGTGGCTGGAAAGGAGGGAGGAAGGTACTCCTGGTGTGAGAACAGCATGAGCTAAAGCACAGAGGAGGGACAGGCGTGATATATCTGGGTGGGGCCTGTAGAAGATGCCCCAGCTTTCACCGCAGTCTCTGTGCAGGAGAACAACAAGGCTCTCCTGCACTGGAGCCTCCCCTCTGGGTCCAACTAATAAAATTGGCTCGTCTACCTTGTTCTGAAGCCATCATTAGGGGTGTGTCAAGACAGGTAGCCACAGCCTCTGCAGTTCCCAGTTATGTGAGAGACCAGGGATTTGGCCCCCAGCCTGATTTGGGGTTAAGGGAAGCATCTCTGGTTTGGGTTATGAGCCTACCTCATCGCGGGGCGGCGGGGGGGGTTCTCCCCTGAAGTTTAATTCATACTGAGAAGCCCTGATCCCACCCCAGCTGCAGGGAGGGAGTGGGCTGCCCATCGCTGTAGGAGGCTGCAGGGCTCCCGTATACATACCAGGGATCTCTCAGAAGGGACCCCAGAACTCAGACATTCCCTCCTAGCAGCCATCCAAAGGGTGTAGCCGAGAACCCCTACCTCTGTCTCCCGGCAGCCTACCACAGACCTCATCTAAGCGCCAGAAGTTAGTTTGCAAATGCTGTGTACCCTGCAGTCTTGGTGTTATTCCCCTTTCCAGTCATTAATAAGCCTCTTTGGGAAACATCGCAACCTGAGAATGAGGGTTTAATCTCTAATGGTTTAATCTCATGAAGAATGTCAGCGACAGTATATAATTTGGCCAAATCCCATAGGAACCTTACTTTGTTGGAAATACGTGGGGAAAGAACTAAGAAGTGCATCACCAGCTTCATTTTTCTTCTAAGTATTCTATTGGATGAGTTAGGAACTATGATTTTTTCTTCACTAGTTCGAAGTTCAAGTTTTCCGCTGGCTAGCAAGACCCATTTTATTTGCAAGCAGTCTTACAGAGGGAATGTCCCAGCTTGACCCTGAGAGGGCAGGAAGACCTCCTTTAATGCCCAGTTAATATCCCCTCTGCCATGAAGTCCTCTGAGCCATCCTAGCACACCATCTCCCACAGCCTCTGTGGTCCAAACCTGTCCCTTTGCACCTGCAACATGCTGCTTTTAGACATGGCGTGGGCTCACACTGTTGCTGTTTAACTTTATATTTTTAATTGGACAATGACACAATCTTGTCTATATTATAAATTCTTTCTTAAAATCACAACTGAAATACGAACATCGTCCTAAACATGTGTAGTGTTCTATACTGTGCAAGTCCTAAAGTACATGTCGGAGTTCTCCAAGGTGACAGAGCCTCGGCTGGCAGGAGGGTGGCACCGAGGGGAGTCTGGAGGGAAAGGGTGTGAGTCGGGTAGTGGCAGGAGAGAGTAAGGGGACCAGATCATAAAAGACTCTAAAGGTCAGGCTCAGTCGATGGGACAAATAAAGACTCTGAGACACAGAAAGGCTACTGGACTCGCTGTAGGTCACACAGCTATTAAGTGAAAGAGGCAACATCTGGAGTTGGGTGTGTCTGCGTGGAAAGCATCATCTGCACCTCCAGCCTGGTCCCTCCCCTTGGAGGCCTTGCTGCTGGCTGTCCTGCTCTGGAGGATGTAACTGCGCAATGATTTGGAAACGCAGAGGTCAGAGCAGGAGGAACAAGAGCCCCTAGGTGGCGCTAGAGGACCCAAGGGACTCACGTTCAGTCCCTCCGTAGACATCTGCACCACCACCTTCTCCAAGGCAGTCGGATAGATCTGGGACCACCGCTTCCTCCCCCACCAAACTCATGACTCCCTCAGGCCTCGGTTACCTTCGGGTAACCCCTCCCCTTTGCTTGCCCTCGGGGTTCATTCTGGTCTGGTTGCACCTGCACTGCGATGCTGCAAGTAGGGTCACACACTGGCATCTGCTCCGCTGGCTCCCCGCTGGAAAGGCGTGGTGGCCTGCTGTGTCCACCACTGTGGTCTACCGAGAGAGACCCTGTACTTGGAGACTGAGGGACAAACAGACCTGGCTTGAATCCCAGGGCAGATTCCTTAAACACTTTGCTAATGTGTGCCATGAGAACAAAACTGAACATGTAGGGTGGTTGTAGAGAGGAAAACTGCACATGCCCAGCAGAGTAGGCATCCAGTAAGCAGTAACTGCTCTTGACTCTGATGAGAACGATGGTAAAGGGTGCTGACAGCATGAGAGCCTGGTGCCTGCAGGTGCTGACAGGTGCTATTCTGGCCTCTTTGTCTATAAATCGGGACTGTTCCAATGCATTTTTGCCGGATCAAATCAGTGCTTCCTGGGCATTACGGAATGCAGCCTGGGTTTGAAATTCCTCATCTTTTCTCTACAGGCCAATTTAGTCTTTGATCCAGCGGCCCTGCTGCCTGGGGCCTCACCCAAGAGTCCTGGACTCAAGGCCATGGTGTCACCATTTCACAGCCCGCCTTCTACCCCCAGCAGCCCTGGCGTGTGGTCTCGGGCCAGCGAGCCGGAGGAGGTGCCCGTCAGCTTTGACCAGCCTCCTGAGGGCAGTCATCTGCCCTCTTACAATAAGGTAATATCTGGATCCTAAGTACTGTGGTGTGTCTGTGGAAATGCGGACACTGGGCAATTCTGAATCACCTCTACCCTGTTGTCCTGGAGAAAGGAGGACACTTCTGAGCTGTGGTAAGATGTGGTTTTTAACAAAGGAAATTTCTTCTCTTCCTGGCAAGTGATCCCTGAGCTAAGATCACTCTCTACCTAGCCTGCCTCTCTCATCCGCTCTTCCCGTAACTGTGCCACTCACCTGAAAGGTGCGCTCCATCCTTTGTGGAGAGAGGGGCAGGAATTCAGTACTGATCCCAGCTGCACAGAGAGTTATGTCAAAAGCTGAAAACAAAAGCTAAAGACCTGATCAGTGACTCAGCAGAAGGGAGGGCAGGGTCACTAGGTTGTCCTGTCCTGCCCTGATATGAATACTCCTAAGTGTCCCAGAACGGGTTCAAATCATTCTTACTGCATCTTGCCCCAGTTGAAGAATATCCAACTCGTTCCCTTTGCAAAAAGATGTATGGCAGCACTTGTTTCTGTAGATACTGCCCTGATACTTGTGTGTGTGATTTCATCAGATCCCTGCCCTACTAGAAGGAGGTAAGAATCAAGAGAATCAGAGGTACGTACAGTCCAGTACACTCCAAGCAGGTACCCAGCAAATTTGGACCAGAGCCAGGCAGGGGCTAAGAGTTAAAGGGCTCTTTTCTTTTTTTGGGTTGCACCACGGGCATGCGGGATCTTACTTTCCTGACCAGGGATCGAATCCGCACCCCCTGCAGTGCAAGCGCAGAGTCTTAACCACTTGACCACTAGGGAAGTCCCTGAATTAAAGGGTTCTGATGCCAGGAAAAGTTAAATAAATGTGACCTTAGAATTAAGGATGGAGAGAGCAGGATCTACTGGGCCCTTCCAGAGGATCCATCTAGGAAAGAGGTCAAATGTGTTGAAACAGGTAGGGCCCAAGGAAACAAAAGTGGTGGTGAGGAGGTGATGGGGTAGGCTTGAGCCTGCTGGCTGGGGACAGAGTGGAGATCCTTCAGCCCAGGGCAATGGAGAGACCCCCGACAGCAGAGAGGAACCCAGGAGAGAGCCCTGTCTTCTCACAGGATGTCAGTGGGATGTAGAGGCAGGGAGGGAGGCTCTGCCACCTGGTCATAGTACTGGGGGCTTTAGTCTGTGACAGCAGTAAGGGAGCAGGTAGGATTATTTCTGAACCCTGCTGGCCATGAGGGCTGGGGCCTTGATAGCCTGCAGGGCTAGCCTCACTGTGGTCTCAGGAAAGTTCCTGGGAAGCCCTTTTAAAACCAAGTATTCAGGGCTTCACTGATGGTGCAGTGGTTGAGAATCTGCCTGCCAGTGTAGGGGACACAGGTTCGATCCCTGGTCTAGGAAGATCCCACATGCCGCAGAGCAACTAAGCCTGTGCGCCACAACTACTGAAGCCTGTACACCTAGAGCCCGTGCTCCGCAACAAGAGAAGCCACTAAATAAATTTATTAAAAAAAAAAAAAAGTATTCATTCCAAACTTCTGAGACAACTAGGATTGGCAAATACCAAAATGCAAATCAGTGAGAAAATAAGATTTAATTTGCACATAAATTTTTAAAGACACATCACTTGAGTAAGGTAGGACACCCACTATAAACACGCCATTGAACTTCTGACAAAGTCCAGTGGACCCAGGTGAGGCCTGGTTCTGAGATTCACACACTTCCCAGAGAAAAAATGGTTTTCAGGCAGCTCTGCTGGGTGTTTCTAAGGTGTGGCTTCTGCTAGAGTTGGACCTCGCTGGAGAAAGCAAAGGATTCTGGCTGCTCAGCTCTCCCGGGGTTAGCCAGCTCTGGGGGGGTGGGGGTGGGGGTGGGGGGAAGGGAGGAAGCTGATCACCAGCTGTCCAGCTCCACACCCATGAGGTCATGGTACCAGCCACCCACAGACCCCCAACCCTGTTTTCTGTTGGGTTCACCTTTGTCAAAGTAGAAACTTCAAAATGTTAAAACATGACTCTGGTACGAAATAGAGAGAGATTTTGTTCAATTTGTTAATTTAGGAGGGATCCTGTAAGATGGTAAAGCTCATTCAAAGAACTGGTTATTTATAGGCAATTAAAAAGGACAAATGTTAGAATAAAATTGCTAAGTTAGACACTGAGCTGATGGTTATTTTACAGGCCAGTAAAATCTTAGGTTATTTTTTTTTACTGGATAGACAGCATTTTCATCTTCACATACACAGAAAAAAATCTGCAGGTTACCATGTAATACCACAGCCCCATAGGGCTCTAACCTATAATAAATAGCAAGCAATGGTACATCCTCCTAGAAAATCAAATGATCCTCAGGTGGGCTTGTGAAGCTGTGCGTGTGAGACTGACATTGAAAGAACATGCGCCCTCCCTGTTTGGCCTTTTTCACAGGTGTAGATCATTTTCCTTAACACTTTCTTGCAGGTGCGGACAAGGGGCTCCATAAAAAGGCGCCCTCCCTCCAGGCGATTCCGAAGGTCTCAGTCGGAGGACTGTGCGGACCTGGGGGGGCTCAGGGCCGAGGAGTCCTCCCAGGAGAATGGGGCCAAGGAAGAGAATGGGGACGAGGTGTTCCCAGCCAAGAGCAAGACCCCAGGATCCCCTCCTCTGAGGAGGACGCCCAGCTGGACAGAGAAGCAGGAGGAGAAGGGCAGGGCTTTGAGGGTAGCCCAGCAGCACGAAAAGGCCGTGGGGAGCTCCGAGGAGGGGGCCAGCCAGCGTCCAGCCCGAGCCTCCAGCCCAGAGGCAGAGGACGGGGGTGGGAGCCCCACGGAGGAGAAACCGGCTGAAGGGCAGATGGAAGAGCCTACGGAGGTGAAGGAGAGGGTGGCCAGCGAAGAGGAGGAGCCTGAACAAAGCAGCCGAGACACAGAGGGGCTGGAGGAGGGAGCTCTGGGGGAGGAGACCCCCCAAAACCCCCCTGGAGGAGGGGAGGGCGACCACAGTTCTGAGCAGGGGGCTGGCAAGGAAAAGCAAGATGACGGGACCATCCTCGAGCCAGGCTGTGACCCTGTCACTGACCACGCCCAGCCGGACACTAGCAGTGAGGTCTCCAAGACAGAGGTAGGTGGCCTGGCTTGTCCCCCTGACCCGGACAGGGCAGGGCCAGCGCATCCTATGTCCCGTGCCCTGTTCCTTACACCCATCACCAATCAGCTGGGTATGCAGTAGCACAGGGACTGGATTGAGACGGGCTGTCACTGATGGGGAGGGGACAGAAGGACCAGAAAGGGAAGCGTGTCCCATGCTCTCTGCTTCTCGCTGCCTCGGGGTTCTGGCGCCCTTCTGGATGTGACTGAGGCCCACACACGGAGGCCTCCTGATGCAGCATCCTGGACTGGGCTCACTTCTGTGGGGTGTTCTCAGAGGAAAAGGGGGTGCTCCTTTCCATACAAAGCTCACAGTAATAGTGCATGAGACCAGCAGCTCCTTGGGGCGCAGTAAAGAAGGCAGAACACGGCAATGGGCAGGGCTTCCCCTAGGGAAGCTTTAAAGGAGGCTTTATGTTCCATCCGTGCACGCACAGGTGTTAGACACCGAGAGCACATGAGGACGGGCTGCCTCAGTCCCGCCCTCCTGCTGGGCCCACACTTAGTCATGTGGCTCCTCCCACCACTCCCAGGAAGCCCACCTGAGCTCACCTACTTGTGCCCTCAGGAGCACGACCAGCCTTGCTGGTTTCCACAAGAAAAGCTCTGTGTCCCACTCCTACTGCCACCCCTAACAATCTTCTTTTTTTTTGGCACGCGGGCCTCTCACTGTCGCGGCCTCTCCTGTTGGGGAGTCTTCCCGGACCGGGGCACGAACCCACGTCCCCTGCAGCAGCAGGTGGACTTTCAACCACTGCGCCACTAGGGAAGCCCCTCACCCCCTAACAATCTTATCAACAAAGTCACCTTCCAGTGTTTCCCCCTTCCCTTTATGTTAGTTCATTCATTCATTAACACAAGCCACTGTCAGCTTCTGACATTAGCCTCTTATGTCACTTCCTGCTTCCACTTTTTCTGCCTACATAGTCCATTCTCTGTACAGCAACCAGAGGGGGGTGTGTGTGTGTTTACTCATTGCTAAAATTACTCACGTCCTGTGTTAGTTTCTTAGGGCTGCCATAACAAATTACCACAAATTGGCAGCTTGAAAACAATCGAAATGTATTGTCACACAGTTCAGGAGGCCAGAACTCCAAAATCAACGTGTTGGCAGGATTGGTTCCCTCTGGAGGCTCTGAGGAAGAGTCTTTTCCAGCCTGTCCCCTAACTTCTGGTGGCTGCTGGCGACCCTGGGAATCCTCTCTTTTCTCTTCCAGCTTCTGGTGGTTGTTGGCAATCCTCGGTGTTCCCTGGTTTGTAGACTCATCACTCCAACCTTTGCCTCTATCTTCACATGGTCTTTCCCTGTGTCTGTGTGTCTCAAATCTCCCTCTCCTTTGTCTTATAAGGACACCCATCATTGGATGTGGACCCACCCTAAGTCCAGAATGATCTCATCTTAAGATCCTTAATTACATCTACAATGATGCTCTTTCCAAATAAGGTCACATTCACAGGTACTGGGGGTTAGGATTGGACATATCTTTGGAGGAGGACACAACCCATGGCACCTCTGCTCCCCCTTGTCCCAGAGCACTCAAAACACAGATTCCAAACCCTCTGTGAGGCCCTGCGTGGGGGGCCCCTGCCCAGCTCTCCCTGACTCTCCCCCATACTGTGCCCCAACCGTGGTGATGTTTTTTGGGTTTGTTTTTTACAGTGGTTAATATCTAGATCCTTGAAGTGACTTGGTGCAGTAATTTATAAGCCCAAAATTGGTTGAACAGACTCAGAACGTGTAGCTTTCCAAAATGCCATCTGAGAGCTGTTGGTTAGGACCGTGCCCAAATCACATAGGGCTGGCATGTGTACATCCTTCCAGCCTTTCTTCTTTGTGGTTGTATTTTTATACTCCAGATTGATAGTGTTCAGGTTCTAAACGTGTTGCTTTCGAATGTTCATTAAGCTTTCTTTCATTAGTAATACTTTAAAAAATTGGGGGAATTCCCTGGTGGTCCAGTGGTTAGGACTCGGAGCTTTCATTGCTGTGGGCCCGGGTCCCATCCCTGGTCGGGGAACTAAGATCACACAGCCGCGCAGCATGGCCAAAAAAATATAAAAAACTTTTTTTTTTTTTTTTTTTTTTTTTTTTTTTTTTCTGTACGCGGGCCTCTCACTGTTGTGGCCTCTCCCGTTGCGGAGCACAGGCTCTGGACGCGCAGGCTCAGCGGCCATGGCTCACAGGCCTAGCCGCTCCGTGGCATCCCGGTCTTCCTGGACCGGGGCACAAACCCGTGTCCCCTGCATCGGCAGGCGGACTGTCAACAACTGCGCCACCAGGGAAGCCCTAAAAACACTTCTAAAAATTTGGATTTTTAAATTTTCAAGACACCATTTTCATTTTTTGTTTTATTACTTAAATGCGAGGTGCTACCTCTTTACAAGAGCTTAACAGCATATAATTTCTCATTTAATTGCACATGTCAGATCCTCACTATGTGCAGAACACTGTACTAGCTGTAGTGTGTGTGTGTGTGTGTGTGTGTGTGTGTGTGTTTGCAACAAACGTGAATGCACATCCACTCCCAAGGAGATTTTAATTAAAGAATATTATAAAATTCTTGAAAAAATTCTTGAGGATTTACTATATTAAATTCTTTAATATACAAGGATAAAGATGGGTATGTGTTTGAGGTGCCAAATAAACAGCAAAAAGACTTGGTTGAAAATATGTCTTTTCCAGAAATTGTACCTCCAAACTTTCCGTTGTTCCCTTGAATCATACTAATAATAATTTGCTACTCACTGGGGCTTTTCAGTTTATTTACTTTTCATAAGGAATTGGCAAAGTTTGATAAGGTGAACAAAAGGTCTGGTCTCTAGATTCCTGTTGTGGTTTTAAAATGGAAGCAGGCAGACATAGCATAGCCTTTCTCCTATTTTGCCTATAGTTAACATCAATTCATAAATTAATGACTTAAGTAGTAATGTGTTAGAGTCATTTTCCAACTGACCTATATCTAAAATTACTGGTAAAATTGTCTAGAATAATTTTTATTCTGTAGTGCATTGAATACAATCTTTTAAAGATTCTAGCCATATAGAAGTATGGAGAATGAAAAATTTTATTGAAGTATAGTTGTTACAATGTGTTAATTTCTGCTGTACAGCAAAGTGACTCAGTTATACACATATATATTCTTTGTCATATTCTTTTCCATTATGGTTTATCACAGGATATTGAGTATAGGTCCCTGTGCTATACAATAGGACCTTGTTGTTTATTCGTCCTATATATAATAGTTTGCGTCTGCTGACCCCAAACTCCCAATCCTTCCCTCCCCCAACCCCCTTCCCCTTGACAACCACAAGCCTCTTCTCTATGTTTATGACTTTGTTTCTGTTTCATAGATATGTTCATTTGTGTCATATTTTAGATTCCACATATAAGTGATATATGAGAATGAATTTTGTATCGCTACCCTCGTCTCCCTCTTTGCACCTCTCTCCTTAGTAGGCATAATCACCATATACAATTCAGTGTTCATATTTTCAGTCCTATTTGGGTTTGATGGACTGAGCTGCAATTATTTTGGACAAAGATTTTTGTTTGTTTGTTTGTTTATTTATAAATTTATTTTATTTATTTATTTTTGGCTGCGTTGGGCCTTCATTGCTGCGCGCTGGCTTTTCTCTAGTTGCGGCGAGCGGGGGCTTCTCTTCGTTGCGGTGCGCGGGCTTCTCATTGCGGTGGCTTCTCTTGTTGTGGAGTACGGGCTCTAGGCACGCGGGTTCAGTAGTTGCACGGGCTTAGTTGCTCCACAGCATGTGGAATCTTCCCGGACCAGGGCTCGAACCCGTGTCCCCTGCATTAGCTGGTGGATTCTTAACCACTGAGCCATCAGGGAAGCCCCAAAGATGTATTTTTTAATTGCTAAATGTATTTATCCCTTCCTATTGACAGTCTGACACTGAGCATTATTCCTCTTGTAGTTTATCTGATCAAGATACTTCTACCAATCAAAGAACAAGATGGGGATTAAATCGGGGGGCCGGAAGCAGTCTCTTTAGTGGTGTGCGCTGCCTCTGTGAGATCCAGGAAGGAACTTGGACAGGCATGGCGTGCTGGGGAAGCCCGTGACACAAGGGGCCCACTTCACAGTTGTCCTTACTGGGGAACCCTTTGGCACCACTGCCCGA